GTATATGCCGTGTGCAAATATTTTATGTTCAGGATGATATCACATTTTGGTCATATTGGTGTCTACTGCTGTGTGTATTCTAGGTTATTTGTGAGTAGGCACATATATATATTTAGTTGTTATTACAGACATAAAAGAAGATTTAAACAAAGATGATTTGCTATAATGGTGTCTTCGTGTGCTAGGGATATTATGTCTTCAATCAAACATGATTTTTTGAGTGGCAAAGGTAAACGACAAATTAAAAATCTCACCAATAGCATGGGCCCAAAGTCACCTGATTGTAGAAACCCTTGAATAGGCTGAATTCTTCTAATGGGCCCGAAGTCATATCAGACGAGGGTTTGTAATTCTATGACACTTTTCGTTTTTGATTTTCAAGTTTGGAAAAATGGTTAAGAAACTAAAGGTATGAACTTGGTCACTGCGAATGAGAACATAAACCAAAACCCTGAAGAAGAAGAAGACCAAGACATGAAATCGGTTGAAAAAATCGGTTAATGCATCACAATGCTTATTCACATTGCATAGTTTGAAGTGTATTTTACATAAACATAGTCAAAGTAGATAGACATTACATTTAATAACATGCACAACTAATCTTCAATTGGCCAGCCACGAGCGGGCAAATGAATGTCACTCCAGAAGTCCCAAGCTGCACGTTGCCAGAAACAACGATCGCATCTCCACCATTTTCTTGATTCATCTATGGAGACTTCAAACACTGGTTCTATTATTGTGGAGCACCAGCAATCACGTGACATGTTGAGATATATTTTTTCACATAGAAACATAAACATCTCAGGTTTATCGTAATCAGAAAAGCATATGAGTGCCCAACTAGACATTATGTGATGCATTCGAACAACAGATTCACGAGTAAAACTTGGATACTTGTGAACCAATCCTATATCATCAACGCTAAATACTAAGTTCATCATACCATCTACATACTTGGCCAACGAGAATCCTCTCTCACCAGCAAGATGAATTTTTCCCCTTCCTTCATCAAGTAAATTGAGGATGAAGAACTCATACATGCCTCGCAAGTAGATGGCCTCTGGATTACCCAACTGGTCGCACCTTAGCCTGAATGTTCTAACAGCATTGACCTCATCTATCAAGTCATTCAAATACATGAGATTTTCAGATCTATAAAAGTAATCTTCTCTGCCAATTTTATTGAACTCGGAAAACGCAATTCTTGCACTACGAAAGTCCCGGAGATTGTTTGTTTCTACCTTAGAGAGAATCTTATGAAGAATGGAAGGAGGGAGAGAAGCCAAGTTCAAGTTCGCCATTTATATACGCAGTGAGATCTCTAATTTTAATTTTAACAATTAGCGTTTTCTAATTTTAATTTTAGAGTTAACAATGAGAGTTTTGAATGCAAGTCGTAAAAAAGAAGATACCACCACTACACTTCATAATTAACAAGCTAATGAAAATGATACAAAATTGTAGGTTAACAGCACAGCTTCAGATGAAAGTAACTGGCAAGGTAAAGGTAATGACAACTTTCATTTATGGGCTTGGACCCTTTTATGGGTCCAAGTCAACTGACTGGTGATTAGTATATAAAAAATATCAGATAATTATTACTTTGGTTCAACAACTTACCTCAACATCAACCAAAAATCATGTATTTTAAACTACTCAGGACCTGATTTCCTTTTTTTAGCAACTTAATTTAAATGTACTGAGAGTTATCTTGAGAGACATTGGAATTTGACAAAAATGTTTAATAAGTTGGCATTATTTTTTGTGATGACAGAAAGCATTTTCAAAACTAGAGAAAAATATTAAACTGGGTTTTAAAAACATATAGGTAATAGAATTGAATACATAGATAACATGAATATTACGTTAATCAATTGATATTACCAAAGCTATTACCTTTTTGTAACAAAGGGAATAACGTCAAAATGTTAGTATATGTTGATTTGACTGCATATCAAAGAATCTGGATAACTAATGTAAATTCATGCACGGAGCAGAGCGTTAATATTGTTTAGTTTTTCAGAAAGAATATATGATTTTACCTGAGTCACAATAAAGATTGTATAGTTATATAATTAACTTATTCCTAACATGATAAAACCATAAGAATTTATATTTACACTGTATGTGCAGACATTATACCAAGTATTTTTTTTTATGATTATGTACTATAATATAGTTTCTATCATGTCCGTCTTTCTATATATTATCCATATATGTCAAATATTATTCATGATTATGAATTTTTTTTTACATCAAAAGACTATTCTATTAATCAAATTTGAGGTGGTTTAGGAATCCATACCAGAATCGAACAACCAACAAAAACTATATTCATATAGAAAACCCAAGTTGTCTTGGCCAAGCTGTCCGCCGTCCGGTTTTGGGTCCTTGGAATTTTTATGTGTTGGTCTAAGTTAGTTTAATAAATCGTATGCATATCAGATTACTGTAAGTTGATAGGAAATATGATATGTTATGTTTACACAAATTAAATTATTAAGATTAGGTAATTTTAGTGGACCATACATATATGAAGCTCACCTGTTAGTGAATATCTATAGTATTTTTGTTATATATGAAATTAGGGCTGGGCACAAATATATCAACATTAAGGAACTATAAAGAGAGCTTGGAACTGTTAAAACCCTAGCTTCTAAAGCCTTCTTGACCATTTTACGATGCCATTAACCTTGAATCTTCTTTGGATGCTCAGACACGTCAATAGAGAATCCATGATGTTATATTAAAAGAGAAGACATTAGTTGTACACCAGTATCGTGCTCCATGGGTTGTTAGTCAAATATTGCATTCAATGCAATTGATAATGATTATATTAAATTGTTTTGTGAAGTTTTAGGATAGTTTCGGTGTGCGAACCGAAATTCACACAGTTGATTTCCGTTTAAATAAGGAAACTAGAAAAACCCTAATTTCTTAGACGTCCCGGATTTCTTCTAAACCACACGCCAAGCAATCAGAATACGAAAAACAACAAGGAAAGAAAATAAGAAATCGTAAGAAAGCAAAATGAGTCTTATTCCGAATCCGTGTTTGAGCGTTACAACAAGGTAGAAGCCTTGGCCGCAAGAGCTGTTGGCGAGATTCCTAGTTCTAACAACCTAAGACTGCAAAAACTAGTTGAGTCGCAGCTCAAAATGACAAAAACAGAAAGTTTCCTAAATACTTTAAGTGCTAAGTTTGCTCTCAAAAAGTTATTTTTATGCCTCTCGCCTAGTTCTCCTTATATACTCCCTCCAAGGTCGTTTTAAGTTTTCCCAAAGTACCCTTTGGCTGACTTAAGCATCCTTTGGGAATATTCCATTTTTTTCGATCTTCATAATTATATTTGGAAACTTGACATTTATCTTCGAAGATTTAACATTTATCCTCTTGTGCGGATAAAATATAAATTTTTGTTATGCTAATAGGATTTTGTCGAATAAAAATAGTAAGTGGGTTCTTAATCTCGTTTTAGACCTCTTCGAGATGTTCTTCGGACTTATAACGTTTACTACGATTTTAAATGAGTTATTGTAATTTTTATCCTAAAGTCTTGAAGATAACCGTATTTGGGATTTGAACAAGGGTCAGTATAGGCGTGGTTCATGAGAGGTTGTATCGAGGTTTAGACGAGAAGACTCCCCGTTCAGTAAACCCATGACCGAAGAAAAAGAGAACATCTTCTGGGTTGAACATGAGAAGCTAGCTGAGAAGCAAGCCGCAATCACTCGCAGCAAACGCCGACAAGGTCGGAAAACTGCTGAGGAGAGTCCCAACATCCGTGACCTCCACGATTACAAAAAAAAAGACTGCCGCAGAGGTAAGGGCAGTCAAATTTCAGATCCATCACGCTACCAGCATACTCGAAATCGACAGATAAATCGAGGAAGCGTGGAAAAAGCCCTTCACAACTCGCATCACTGAAACCAAGGTTTCTTATCCTGGAAAGATCAAGTGCCAACATACAATGTCAAGACTGATCCCAAAGCGCATCTGCAAGCTTTCCAAATCACAATGGGTAGAGGTAGACTCCAAGAAAGCGAGAAAGACGCAGGCTACTGCCGTCTCTTTGTCAAAAATCTGGAAGGAGCGGCTCTCGAGTGGTTCTCCCGTCTTAGGAAAAACTCCATCGCGAGTTTCCGCCAGCTGGCGTCGGAGTTCTTAAAACGATATTCTATGTTCATAGATAGAGAAACCTCCAATGTATACTTATGGAGCCTTTCCCAAAGGGAATACGAACCTCTCTGCGACTTCATTAGCAGGTTCAAGCTGGTCATGTCCAGGGTCAGCGGCATAAGCGACAAAGTGGCCGTCGATGCGCTCAGAAAGTGGATAACTCTCGACATCTCATATTCTTTTCTCTCGACAATTAAAACGCATACACAAATTAAACTCTTCAAACACTCATAATATATAAACCAGCCAAAGCGGTAAGGGACTCAAAGCCACCAATGGCCAGTCCCAGCAAATACAAACACGGCCATCTAGGCCCACACAAAATCCAAACATAAACAAACGCCACACTCAGCCGGAAGCAAATAACAACGGCCAGACATGGCCATAACCCAAGATAAAAGGGAAAACACGTTCCCATAGAAAACCACTTACACCTTCAAGAATCGAAAACGAAGTTTCCAGACATCGAAGCTCCAAACGGACGATCCACTTCTTCATCCTCACCTGCAACATCGATCGGAACCTCCTCTGTATCAGGCGAGACTGGAACTGGGTCCCAAATTCCACGGAGATTCGCTTCGATCGGAGGGATCGGCATAAACGTTCATACCACCAGACATGATCAACATCTCGTTATCAAAGTTAAAGTCATCTGTTTGTGTCTTCTTCAACGACCCAACAGAACCTCGGCACTAGTGGAAATCACCCCACATCGAATGCGCCTCCATAAAACGGCCAAACTCGACCTCAAATTTGGAAGCACGGTTCACCATCACGGCATCAACCTCTCTCCTACCCCGTCTCTCCGCTCTACTAACGGCTCAGGAATGATCATGGACCGACTTAAGTTCATGTTCCACAGCCTCATTCTGAACGCGTGCGAGCATCTTTTCAGCCTTCTCCACTTTGAAACGGTAGACCATCGCCTCACGAGTCCTGGCTTCATGGGCCGATCTGATCATGTTTACTCCCTAAAAGAAAAGTCATCGTAAGAATCCTCAAAAACAAAAAAAAACAATCAAGTATAATGGTGAATCAAAACTAACCCCGTTGATTAAGCGTGGTCCCTCCACAACAACCTCGGATCCCTCCGGTATATCTGCTGGCGGAGCTAGGTCAAAATTCGTAGGGAGGCCGGAAAGCAACTCATCAAAATCAATATTCGGGAAAGGAGCCTCGCTCGCACCACTCCCATCGCCATAAGGAAGACTCGGGCCCCATCCTGGAAGCACAAAGTCATCCGCGGAAAAGTCAAAATCTTCAAGATCAATGGCCTTGTCCTTTGATTGCTTGGCTTTTCTTTTCCTCGGAGTGAAAAGAGGGACGGAGGCATCCGAATCCGAATCAGGTTCTTCAGCCACTTGCACACCGGGTCCAGCACGATGAAGTGCCATCGCCCTACGAACCCTCTGTGGGTAAAACGGACTGATCTGAAAGAGATCCCGCACTGTCACGGTATCACTAGGAAACAAATGTAAAGGGTTGATAAATGGACGCTGGTTGAACTCGCTTTGAAACATTGGAATGCACCTTTCCTCGACGGGTGCTGCATATACGCGACAAAAAGAAACACTTCATCCATGTATGACCATAGAGAGTGGTCTTCTTGATCACCGTCATGAAAGGACGGGGAGTTAGGCGAAACATGGACCCTGAGATATACTGCAAACGTAGGAAGGCCTATAAGTGGTTGACGGTGAGAGTAACACCGTGCTCGTAGCAGAGAACCACCAAACCGATAAGGTTTTCCAAACCGGCAAGACTTATTTGACTTATCGATATCTAGAAATGCTCTAGAACGCGGAGAATGATCTCCAGGATGGGAAACCATAAGCGGCAACGCAGTAGAAATTCCTCGTAGCACGTGAAGTAACCATCAAAAACGTCCTCAGACGTAGAGCTACGCGGGGTAGATTTCTGAGAAACTTTTTTCTTGGATGACATCTCTCTGAAACTTTTTGAAACTTCTTAAAAAAAGGAGGAGGAGAAATGAGATTGGGAGAGAGGGAACTTATTTTCAAAAGAACCTTTTTGAAAATGAGAGGTGTGGGGTTTGAGAAAAATTACCTCATCTATTTATAGACACAAAAATTCACTATTCAACCTTGAACTTTCCGGTGTTAATTCCACCCAACTCGCCTAAACTTGCCAAACATGCCTAACCGCACTCTAGGACCCTACAATGCATGGTCCTAACGAGCAGGGGGGCTAACTATTGGGGTAAAAAAAGGTCACAACGAAATTAACATCTAAAAATCCTCGGAAATAATGTTTCCAAAAAGACAATTAAAAAAGAATATAACTTTTGTAAAAATTTACCAACATGATTTTTTTACGAAAGAAGTATCCACATAACCTAAGTAAACAAACCATCGAAGTACCAAGCCACTAGACGATCATCGAATGGATATCCCGACTCAGCCACTCGACGTTCGTCGAGTGGTCCAACCAAGCGAACCACTCGATGATCGTCGAGTTGTTAGCTCGACTGAGCCACTCGCCGATCGTTGAGTGGACCATTTTGAAACATCAATCCAACCCGAAACTCTCAGTACAACACCAATTCATGCCTTCTCGTCTAAACCTCGATAAAACCTCTCATGAACCACAGCTATACTGACCCTCGTTCAAAACCTAAATACGGTGATCCTCAAGACTTTACGATAAAAATTACGATAACTCATTTTAAAATCGTAGTAAATGTTATAAGTCCAAAGGACGTACGGCTTAAAAGGGTTTAAAACGAGACTAAGAAACCAATTAGAATTTTTATTCGACAAAAGCCTGTCAGCATTACGAAAATTTACATTTTATCTGCAAAAGAGGATAAATGATAAATTTTCGAAGATAAATGTCAAGTTTCCGCAGATAATTATGAAGATTGAGAAAAATGGAATATTTCAAAAGGATGCTTAAGTCGGCCAAAGGGTACTTCGGGAAAGCTTAAACTGACCTTGGAGGGGGTATATAAGTAGCACTATGCGAGAGGCAGAAGAAAGAACATTTTCAGAGAAAACTTAGCACTTAGACTATTTATGCAACTTTCCGTTTTTGTTATTTCGAGCTGCGACTCAACTAGGTGTTGCAGTCTTAGGTTGTTAGAACTAGGAATCTCGCCGACTCTTTTTGCTCATTTTATGATTTCTTATTTTGATTCCTTATTGTTTTATATATTGATTGCTTGGCGTGTGGTTTAGCAGAAATCCGGGACCTCTAGAAAATTAGGGTTTTCTTAGTTTCCTTATTTAAACGGAAGTCGACGGTGTGAATTTTGGTTTCCACAGTTTGGCGCTAGAAGGAGAGGGGTTACAGATCAATCTAACTCACAGCCATAACACGCTAGATCAAATATGACGAATCACTATGGAAACGTGTTGCAGACTCCCATCAACGGAGGAGGCAACACCAATCTCAACACTCCAGCAGCAGATGTCACCGTGGCTAACGCATCAGCCAACGCCCAGACACTCGAGGAGTTAAAAAAATGTTCACAGCCTACGAAAAGAGCTCAAAAGAACAGGATAAGCTTGTAAACACCTTGACTGAACAGGTCAAAACCTTTACAGCAAGGACTCAAGCAATCCGCCCCCGCGGAGCCACAAAGATTCAAGGGAGAAGACTTGACTTCACAACCTCTCTCGACAGGCCCGGTCCTTCGCAGGAGAACCCTACGGGGAAAAACCCTGGAAAAACAGCCCCTGTCGAGAACCAAAACTCGGAAAACCATCCATATCCTGAAAAGGAAGTGGAAGGTAACGAGTGCAAACGCATCAACATAGATCTCATCGACTATTCTGATGATTCAGAACAATACGTTGACGTGCATCCGAGGAGAACATGGAGCCGAGCGGCTGGCGAGGACTCCCTGTTCAGTAAAACCATGACCGAAGAAGAAGAGAACATCTTTTGGGTTGAACAGGAGAAGCTAGCTGAGAAGCAGGCCGCAATCGTTCGCAGCAAACGCCGACAAGGTCGGAAAACTGCTGAGGAGAGTCCCGACATCCACGACCTCCACGATTACATTAAAAAACTGCCGCGGAGGTAAGGGCAGTCAAATCTCAGATCCATCACGCTACCAGCGCCGCTCCAGAAATTGACAAATTACTCGAGGAAGCGCGGAAAACCCCCTTCACAACTCGCATCACTGAAACCAAGGTTTCCAATCCTGAAAGATCAAAGTGCCAACATACAACGGCATGACTGATCCCAAAGCGCATCTTCAAGCTTTCCAGATCACAATGGGCAGAGCTTAGACTCCGAGAAAGCGAGAAAGACGCAGGCTTGTCGTCTCTTTGTCGAAAATCTGGAAGGAGTGGTTCGCGAGTGGTTTTCTAGTCTTAGCCAAAACTTCATCGCGAGTTTCCGCCAGTTGGTGTCGGAGTTCTTAAAAAAATATTCTATGTTCATAGATAGAGAAACCTCCGATGTTGACTTATGGAAAGACACTCTGGTACAAGTCGAAATTCAGAAAGTGGATAACTCTCGACTAACCGCGCACGATCCAGGATGCTCTCCATAAGGAAACCGACTACATTATGATCGAAGAAGAGACAATAGTCTTGTCACAAAAGCACAAGCCAGAAAAATCGTCTTCAAGAGACGCATACCAAAGGCCAAAGAATAAGATCTCTCGTAACGACAAATATGTTTATCACGAGGGGGAAGAACTCCAGGGAGCTCATAACTACGCAATCAAATTGGACCAGGGTAAGACTTCGGGCAATAGATGGACGCGAAATCCTAACTACGACGAGAACACTTATTGCGAGTTTCATCAGACACGTGGACACTCCACGATAAACTGAAAAGTCCTTGGAGTAAGGTTGGCCGCAAAGCTACTCTCCGGGGAACTCTCCATAATCACCGGCGTCAAGGACCTGATCCGCGAGACTGATCGTTCCCCGAGAACCGCAATAAAATCGCCCCCAGAAGCTTCTCCTCAGAGAAATCAATCGGGAGATAAACGCGGGAGAAGGAAAGACGACAAGGGTAACGACACTAATCACTGCAGGGTAAGCATGATCATCGGAGGATCGCAGTACTTCAGCGACTCTGTCTCGGCCATCAAAGCTTACCAGCGCAAAGCTGAAAAAGCGCAAACTGGCCGACCTGGTCTCCTCCCCAAAACGTCCAAAACCATATGATAACTTTCGAAGATAAGGAAGCCGGCGGGATTGATCAACCTCATTGCGACCAATGCAATCAGTACATGCTCATCCCCAATATCAAAGGCAACTGCTCCTGGAAGCTGTAGACTTGTTATGTTCTTGTTGGGGAGGACCACTTCAATAATTCTACCCAGCTTCTTGTATTTGTCGACACATTCTCCTTGGTATCTTCCACTGAAAATTTGAGTAATTTTCATGTGAGTTCCATCAAGGAAGGTGGGACCAATGCCATCAGACTCTAAGTTAACACCAACATGCTGAAGCAGAGGGGTGATCATGCCTCCAATCCCAATCTGAGGTTCTGAATCCTCTGTTGGCAAAGCCCAATCCCTATAGTACTCAAGACATGTCATGAAGAACCCAAACCATTCCAAAGTCTTTGTAGAGCTCACTGACATCAAACGGGATCTTCTCAGGTGCGAAAGGTTCCAGAGCTAGACAAAGAAGTCGCAGTTCATCTTCAGTTACTGAGCCGGGCTCCTTACTAGGGAAAAAGGCGTGCACCAGCATCCTGTGAAAGTATCGTATTGCTGGGTTCCTGATAGCTGAGTTCTTGTCTTTCCCTGTGATGTGATCTGTGCAAGAGATGACGTTCCAAACCTTCGCTGGAATTTTGTTGTCCCTGGAGACTCCCGTAAGCCTAGGGAGAAGATAGTATTCTGCATCCTAAAATCCATACAACCTCCCAATATCCTTGAAGTTGACGTTGTGAACTCTTCCTTTAACTATGAACGTTATCTTCCCCCATCCTTCCCTCACATACTGAGATTGATGATAAGTAACAACCAATGAGGACAAGAAATCACAAGACAACTCCTTGTAGGTGGGATGAGCAAAGGAGTAGAAACTAGACATGTTCATGTTGCCTAGCATAGCCTTGACATCTTCATCAATACCAATCTCCTCCACCGGTTCCGTATCTCTGAACCTTGTAGCAGGCCAGCTCACACCAGTCTTTAGGAAGTCTAGGAACACAGCTGGAGTTGGTTTCTTGTCTTTTTCTCATCAGTAGACTTCCTTGCTTTCTTGGTTGGAGCTGGCTCTTCTCCACTCTCTTCATCACTCTCAACTCTGCTGGAGGTTGCTACTTCCTTTCCCTCTCTCTTCTCTTGCTCTTTTGCTTTCTTAGATGCCAACACTTGTTGCCTAGATGATCCTTCTGTAGGTTTGCAAGTTAGAGCCTTTCCTCTCAAAGCAGTCTCTTTTTCTGCTATTGCTTTCTCTTTTACAGCCTCCTTGTCTTTGTATGTCCTTGCCATTGTGCCTACAAAAGCAAGCCTTCAAAGAGACATTAGCATCTAGATTTCAATTTCATTGATCAAATGAGTTTATGAATTGAAAGACTCTTCACACAAGCATTCAAACATTTCAACTCAGTTAGAGATGCCACAATCAAACTCAAATTTGTATAATCATGAATTCCCCCAAAATCTCAAGAATCCTAATTTGGCAAAGCTCAATTTAAACTCAAATCCATCA